GCGCGCATTGAGGGTCGATAGATGTGCGGGAGGCCATCTGTCCGTTGTACCACCAGCTTGAAGCAGTCTCCGCGCATAGGCATATCAACGGCCAGTTTGAAGTACTGTGCGATATCCGGGATGTCACCGCAAACGATCGTTTTGTACATCATGATTTGATTGCCTCTGGAGAGTCAAAATTCGAGGGCGAACAGGTCCAGTGTTTCACAGCCCTCCGGATATGTCAGCCCCTCACTTCGGGCACCATTTTTGACCCCAGCCGTTGTACATATTCGATATTGGTCATCTCGCTTTTCGTACACGGGAACCAAGCGGACGATCCATACTCTATGATCGGGCGGATGAACTTAACCATAAGCTTACGGAATAACTGCATGGACAAGGACGTGAATGCTCTTTTGAACATCCATAGTAGTGCCAGACCCTTGCGTCCCGCCAAAGTTGATTGTTCTCGGGTTTCGAGGTCGTCTTGAATGATAACGCCCAAGACGAGAGTACTCCTGAAGGCGGCCAGTGTCATGTTGCCCATTGTGTTGGGTGGGTGGTCCCGGTTTCTCTAAATTATCAGCAAGTGCGATAAGTTCACGTTGACCGGTATCTTGATCTCCAAGGTCTATTCGCGGATCATATTAAGATCATTTTGAAAAGTCATTTTGTCTTCGGGGCTGTGTATAACACACCATACCTTGAAGTCGCCCACAAACAGAAGGCATGGGGATAAAAGTCTTGATGGGATATCCTCAACGTATATAGAACATAGTCTAGGACCCAGTACCGACCCTCGGGGCACGCCACTACGAGCCTCATTCGCAGAGGAACACCCTTAGCCGACCCTGACCGGCATTGTCTACCAAACAAGTACCCTTTGACCAATGTGACTACAGCTCTTGGGCGTATAACTGAGCTTGGTCAGGAGGAGCACGTGATCGTCTTTATCAAATGCCTTGGTAAGGTCGATTAAGGTTGCATGTACCGGCAGTCATTTTTCTTTGGTTTCGCACCAAGCTTCACATGCCACCATGAGGTGAGTGGTGCACGATTTGTCTTTGACAAAGCCGTGCTGTTCTATCGGCAACATGGTGGCTGGCCGAATGTGGGCATCGATTTTGCGGCAGATGAAGTTTTCCAGCCCATTCACAAACACCAAGGTCAGGCTGACTGGTCGATAGTTCTGGGGCAGAAAACGGTTGCCACCTTTGTAGCTCGGAGTTATCAGAGTCTGCTTCCAGTCACCTGGTACCATTGCAGTGGCTAGCGTACGAAGAAATAGTTCTCTTATGTTCGGTGCGATTATAGAAGCAAGCTCGCCAATAACTCTCGGATTTAGATTATTAGGTCCAGCGGCCTTAGTAGGTATCAATCTACTTAGTGTATTCTCCACATCTTAAATGGCAATTATTATGCCGCTTTCAGTTTGGTCAGGGATGCCGAAGTCTTCACTGTCGGCCGTTGGTGGCAAGTAGACAGTGGAGTATTGTTCAGCTAAAAGTTTAGCCATATATAACTCATCTATTTGGAGCACACCATTTGTATTGTGGAGACTGAGTGCCCGGGGTTGCACGACCTTTTCTTTTAAGGAATGCATAAAATCAATTGAGCTGGGTGCTAATTTTTTGCACCAGATCTTCCTCGTACGCTTCTTTCTTTGAACTCCTTATACGCTTGCATTCATCTCTGATTGCTTTGTTAGTCGCTTTTGCTTCGGCTGTTCTCAAGATCATGAGGGCCTTGTAGGCGCGTTTCCTGGCCTTCAACTTGCGTTTTGTCTCGTCATCGATCTATGGGGGGCGACATGCTACCCATCCACGGAGCTTCAGGGGGACAAAGTCGGTACAGAGCCGCTCAATATTGCCACGGATCAAGTTCCAGCGTTCTTCTACATTGGCAGAGTTACTCGATTCCCAGAATAGGTTCATAGCGCTCTGCCCCATTTCGTCGTAATCAGTCTTCCAATATGCCGGTTTTTAGCATCTACGCATTGACGAGGATCCGGCTATGTGGAGTGCTGCCAAGACAGTAGCGTGATCACTGGTGCCGAGGGGTGCAGAGACCCTCGCATTAGATACTTTTATGTGGACATTTGTGAATATCAAGAACAGACAGGATGCCATAACCGAATCAGCTATCCGCGTAGGCTGTACAAAATGTTGTACGAGATGAGCTTTTTTACCAATTCTAACAACGCGATCTCCGTTTAAGAGGCAGGGCCTTCGAGGATTAGATAAAACCAGTTGATATGTGAGCAATTAAAGTCACCAACAACGCAGAACTGCGACCTCCTGGCATACTTCTTGACTGTAGTCAACTAGCTGATACCGTAAGCTTGAGGACTTTGGTGTATAACACTCATAGTTTTAGTTGCACCAGTAGTGGCCTTGACCGACAACCAGAGTCGTTCCACACGGTTGTCTTCTGTGCGTGCGCGTTCTAGCATTGATACCACTAGGCCTTCCGTAGCATATACCAAGATAGCCCCATGTATCCTAGCATTACGGTCGCAGCGGAAGACTCAGTAACCAGGTACATTGATCTCACTAGCCTTTACTGATTCAAATAGCCAGGTCTCCGTCACCGCAATAATCGCAGGGCGCTTCTATGCGATAAGTACTTGTAGTTCAATCAATTTTTTAAGCAGACTTTGCGCATTTATCAGCAGAATGTCTACAGCTCCATCGGAACTCCCTGGGCCATTAACAGTAGTGGTTTGAGCAGGGGTTACCTCTTCTGGACAACCCGCGTAACTTATTTTCGTCCGCAACACGACGTTGTTCTAGTTCTTCAACCGCCTAATGCTGCTTTATTCTGTTCTCAGGCGACAGGTCTGCCCGCATCGAGATATTGCTACCTTTAAACCTCCAGCCACGAGTCAGAAGTAGTTTTGGAGTTTGCTCCGACTTGAAAGCTGCCTTCAGTGGTCTAGGCCGTCCGCCTTCTGTAGGTTTCGCACCCAGTCTGAAGAGTTGTACCATCGATACTCGGCCACCACTTGGGTCCAGCATTTTTGGAATGATGGCGCTCAATTCTTTTGAGTCATGGTCAACAAGCGTTTCCGCATTGACTTCCTCTGATTCAGGAACATTAGAGGAGAGCAGTGCCTTCTTTCGATCGTTTTGTTCATTTGAGGCTTTAGCGAGCGATGGAGCATCCTTCGACACTCCCTGCGGCTTTGCACTTTTAGTTTTTGTTTTGTCGTTTGCCATCCTGTGTTGTCATCGTTTACTGTAGTATGAGGCACGAGATGTGCGTCTCTACGTTTTGGATTTTCCACTGGTGCCGCCGCCGACGGTACCGTCGTCGCATCATGCTCCGAATTACCTGAGTCCGTCTTCTCAATTTCAGATTGGTCACTACCTTGCTCTGGGGCTTCCTCTTGTGAATCGGTGTTTGTGTCAGCCTCGTCTTTGTCACCAAAACTTATTTTGTATGTGCTAAAGAAGGGAAAGAGTCTTTCTGAGTCATATTTCTTGAGGACTTCGTATATTTCTGGGGCTATCTTCGCCCATTTTATGTGTACCCATTGTTTACATAGGGTACAGAAGGCAGCCTTGCTCCTGGCAGTAGCGTTATTGCTACACGTGTGGCATTTGGAATTTGTCATATTTCCAAATAAAACGATACTAATGGAGATGATTTGTATAAAAACTAAAAGTCGTTTCTTCTCTTGAATAGATCGATTTATAAAAATCCTCCACTTTGTCTCAATTTAGGAAGGGAGAAACATAATCAATTTTTATGAGTTATGGTTTGCAATTCAAAGGCAAATTACCAATCACAATACTTTTTTCATAACACAGAATTTGAGGCTGTGGGTCATAGCTACGACATCTCGGTTACAATGATGGCACCCGAACGGTCGACAAAAAAATTCAAGGCATATGCGTACCGGAATGGAATTAATCGAAAAAGTTGTACTATATTCCTGCAAAACAATATGCATTCATGTGTGATTACGCGACTTCAACCATCTTCCAATTACACAATATTTATGGAAGTCTGTGAATCAGGAAAGGCTTGCAGTACCTATGCCAATAGTCTAAATGTTCGAACCAAACCCGGCGGTAAGATTGGTATTGCTTTTTCGGCTAACTGCAGCATCTGACGAGTATAATCCAGTGAAGAGGTTCGTAAAATCATTCAGCTATAGATGAAATTGGAGATTACAGTTCTTTTACTTGTTTTGCTGAATAGTGTTATATTCATAGCAAAGAAAGAAAAACTAGTCTAGTTGTAAATATCGATGGAATAAATGTAATCACGATCCCCAAAACTTCACAGCTTTAAGGGCTTTGTTATTTTGATAAATACTCGATAAGTGATCATCGTGGTAATTTAACTAATACCATACTATCTACGCACATAAAAAGATCGTATACTCTTCGCATGAAATGTATAGTTTATAATTTAAGGTCTTTCAATTAGGCCTACTTTCTAAATGTAGTTTTCCTTTGAGTTTTCGACGTAAAATTGCAAATGTGACTTTGATTTTGCCCGGTAATTTGAGTTTTCGTAGCTAACTTGATACGATAACAACTTATCTACGGTATGGGCAGACGAACCTTATGTTTTACGTTTATATCATCAAAATTGATTTTAAATAACTACTGTTATAAGATGACTTGAACTTTAACCTATCTCTCACGAAATATAATACGATAAGGGCATGTACTGTTATACTGCGGCACAATATATCTGAACTGTCTTATAAATTCGGGAGAAGATGCGATCACTGGAAAAAGATTTTTATTTCTCTGAACTTTCGGATTCCGTTGAGAATCCTTAGTCATAGGTAACTGTAGGATATTGTGAGACATGCGCAGATTGTGGGTTTCGGAGCTGAACAGAGCCGTCAGTTCAATAAACGCCAATAAACGCTGTTTGAATGCATTTAATAATTAAAACACGTGCTAAATGGGGCAAAATAAGGAAGAAAACCCAAAGCATTGTTCAAAGTCATAAACAAATTGGTGGAGTTTCTACCAAGAATGAGCGTATTTGAGTCAGAGCACGTACAGTCGAAATGAATAAATATTTTGAATCAAAACACACCTCAAATATGTCAAGAAATGCAAAAGGTCTTGAACAAATCTGGACTATATTTCTGCATTTGGCAAACTGCATGCAGCTTAAATATGCAAATTTAACGAAGTATTTTAGGCAGCTGACTTGTTGCACAGAGAAATTGCTTTTGCTTAATATCTGTATTCAGAATTGGACACAACCGCACGGATTTTGTCAATTTAAATGCAGTTATTGCAAATTATGCTCTCTTTTCTTTTAGTTCCCCGGTACGTCACCGTTGCACATCGGACGAACAGGTCATTCAGCATTTTTTGGTGGAAACCATTTGAAGATCCAAGTGGTTATTATCTGTACAAAGCCAGGGTTGTTGATATTCAAAGCAAGCAACCAAACACCTGCGAAGTGCAGTCCTCCGACATGTTTCTATACTGTCAACTGGAACATCTCGAAACGAACGCTGACTATGATATCGCCGTATCGGCATGTCTCTCCCAGGAAGACTGCAGTGATTACACCTTACCTATTTGGGGAGAGACTTTGCCAAACCGTAAGTAAGCCGTGGAAATGGGATGCAATTTCTGAGCAAATCTGAAGAAAAAAGGGCAGTTAGCCATAGGCACTCCACCGTGCTCCCTAAGTCTGTCATCGTTAGCTTTGGCAAAACCAGTAGTTCGAAATATGCTGCAGGCGTCAGACCGCTAAGCACCACTTATGGACTGTTTCAAGTATGGAGCGCAAGGAGCACATTGTAATCAACATACTTTAAACTACATAGACGCAGCTTCGACTCTGGAGAGAAATGAGATTAAAAAAGACAATGCCTGCCTAAGCAGACGCATGCAATATGTTACTAGTGTCTCGGATGAATAAAACGTAAGTCAAACATTGAATTTAAGCCAAAATCTAAACCAGTGAATCGAGTGCACGGGGCATAATACATGAATTACTATGGTCAAGAGAGTCTGTTATGTCTAAAATACACAGGCAACCTGGTTATCGCTGTCAATGTAGATCCTAATCTGAATAGGTTTCAATTAATATCTGCAAAGAGTCCACATTTGAAGACGTCGAGTGGAAGCAATTTCCAGGGTGTCCCAGAAGTAACTGACCCTTTTGATTTGCCAATAAAACAAAAACTATTAACCCTAGGATATTGAAACTTGTTTTTTTCGAAGGAAAAACCTTTTTGCTTTATAAGAACTAGGTTTTGAT